AACTTATCAAGTGTTATTTATTTGTCATTGTTTTTTTTTTAATATAATATGATAACAAGAACGCGATTTTGTTTATATATTGCATGCCTTAAGCGGAAACACAAGGTATGTTCTACTATTTTATATATTTTGTTGCCCTGGGTCGTAAGTTCGCATAGATTTCTTTTATAGAAGAGGAATATAATAAAAGAATATAATAAAAGCTGTCTATACATGTGTGTCAAAATATATAATAAAATTCCTCAGCATATTAAAGCACTATCTTTCTCAGGATTTAGAAAAGGCCTCTATGATCTTCTCGCAGAAAGAACTTTTTATAGCGTCAAAGAATTCCTAGATTATAAATTTGACAAATGATACCACTACGATTTCACAAATCATGGACATTTTAATTTTGTTTAATAATAATTAACCATTATTTTGACATTTTATTCCATTTAGTATTAATTAATAATTGTCTGATATTTCTATTATATTTAATAATAATTAATAATTATGTAATGAGTAGTTATGTATAAATTTTTATTTATTAATTTCAATGTATCTTTTAATATTTTGTAATTAATAAATAACTGAATTAGCCACAGACTTAAATTTGATATTTGTATGCCTCTATGTAAGCGGTGAAACAAATTTGGCCTAAAGTATATGTAATTAACACCTGTATTTACCATGTTTGAAGCAAATAAACGATTTGAATCTTGAAAATTTACTTTCACGTCACATGAAGTGATCGCCGCCACCCATTAAAATCTGCAACATCAGAGGAATTGAAGATCCGTTGACGGTCTTCTTCAAAGACAGTTCGTCACTAGGCTCTTGGCTAAGCTCATGTCTATGGACCACAGCATCCACTTACCATCAGATGGATTGTGTGATTTTTCTACCGACTTCAAAAAGGAGCCGGTGCTCAATTCGACTGTGCGTTTTTTTTTTCTTTTTTTATGTGTGTGACCTCATAACTTTTTACTGGGTGAACCGATTTTGATGATTCTTTTTTTATGTGAAAGCTGGTGCTTCACATGTGGTCCCATATATTGATCTTGATCCCATAAATTGATCAAGGTCTGACCAATAGTTTTTGAGTTACTCTTAATAATTTATACAGAAGTCGGTTGTATAAAATTTTGAATTTTCAATTATTTTAATACTTCTAGTAAAAATGTTTATAATGTTATGTTATTATAAGATTTGAATTTTATTAGCTTCGCGCGTTTTCTGTCTATGTATCTACGTAACGGAATTTTTTAATGTAATTTTCACCAACTTGTAGACGGCTGAATGACTCGAAAATTGCAACAATACAATAATTTAATGACTATGACCCAGTGTTCTCACTAGGATCATCACACATGATCAGTGCGTGTTAAGTTTTCTTAACCTCTAATATTACTAGAATAAGGGTGACTAAAAAACACACAATTCAATTCATCTAGTGATGGTAAATGGATGCTAAATGGACTAATAATCTAAATGCAGATGCGTTGTTACCCGTGAGAACTATGATTTTTTAGTTCATTAATTACAAGAGGCGATTTATCTACCCTTCCCTTCCCCTACTAAGTCGTTGTGAATTATAGTTCGACCCCTTCACTGCCTTAGCCCAAATCTCATGTGAGATTTTTTAAAATGCGTATTTTTAGTGTAAATACGTTGTCATCATCTTCTGTGCTTGATTGAGTTGGTTTATTAAATAAATATTAAAATTTTTGAAAGATTTCAATGTGGGGAAAGTAATTTTTTTATAGGATAAGGGTAACAAACGAGCACACAGTCCACCTGATGGTAAGTGGTTACTGTGACCCATAGACATCTACATCTATTCCCAATAAAGAATCAAAATGCAGATGCTTTGTCACCCGTGAGGACTAAGATGGAATGCCTCGCTTCCAGTTAAAAGGGTCTCCGGTTCTCTACACTCACCAGACGAAACACAGCAACGTTAAGCTGCTTTTCTAAAAGCATCTCTTAAACTTTCACTAGCAGATAGCTGATGTGATATAAGGAGTAACTTAGGCTACTTATATGTTAAAAAAAACAGTTCGGGATTCGCGCAACATAATTAAAACCCTAAATTACACGCGGGCGAAGTCGCGGGGATTAGCTAGTTAAATTAATATAAATATCTGTGACATATTATGTATATAATATGGAAATGAAAATATGGCTGGGCCATATGTGCGTTATAAATAACTTGATTAAAATCGTGCTTAACAATAGTAACGACCGACACCAATATGGCTGACTTCCGGCCGGGGATTATTTACTTTTTTTATATAAAGTATTTTAACACGCTAGTCGGGTTTAAACAATGCGCGAGGGCCAGCGATGAATTTGAAACACCTATACATTTGATACTTGCGAATTAGCGGTCACCTTAGATCCCTTTAACAAAATCACTGAAGACATTAGCGTATTTATTACAAAAAATCACTATATTTCCAGCAAAAAACGGATTCAAAAGATTGATAAAAAATATAAATGACAAATCCTTTGCCGA